TATTTCCCTCAATAGAAGGCAAGCCCTATAAAGGCAAGGAACATATTTTTCTGTTTCTCAATATATTCATAGAAAGTACTAAATACATACAGGTTAATAAATATAAGAATTAATTCAGTATACTAGGAAAAATGATTGGCTAGCTGAAAAATTCAGAGGAGAATTAATTCAGTGTAATAAAATATGTGTAAGAATAATTCAGTACAATAAGAATATAAGCAACCTTCAAACCTTTGATAGAAAATACCTATTATGAAAACTTTATGCATCCATTTTAATTTTTTGCACCAATATAAACTAATACTTTAATTCAATCTTCCCATGAACTTTTGAAGTCCTCTCATAATAATATCAATGACAAGTGGGCCAGCAGATGGCACGGTGGTTAAGGCACTGCATTCCTACATGGCTGACCACTGTTCAAGTGTTTGACCAGGGGCTTGAAGATCATGCCAGGCACATGTGTGGGCATGCCCAAAAATCTCGAAAAAATTAGAAAGAATGGAGGAGAAGGGACTGTGATGTGTCCACTCTCTAGGGGAGTGATACTCTTTCTTTCTTTCTTTCTTTCGTTCTTTCTTTCTTTCTTCTTTTTTTTTTTTTTTTAGCAATTTCTGCTTTAGGGCACATATGCTCGCCAGAAAGAGAGAGACAAGAGAGTCAGAAAGTGAGAAATCACCCCTCGGGGTGGGGGGGATGGCCATGCCACAATCCCTTCTCCTACGGTCTCCTCTCAGAATCTTGGGCACACACGCAAATGTGCCCGGCATGAGTTTAAGCCACTGGGTCCAGGACTCAAACCATGATCAACTACATGGGAGTCCAGCAACGTAGCCATTAGGCCATCTGCTGGTCCCAGGAGTGATTTCTCACTTTCTCTACTTCTCTCTCTCTGAGAACCACAACACGCCCTATAGCAAAGAACAAACAATATGTCTACATGAGAAGAACTATATGTATCTATAGGTATATAGATCTATAGATATATATATACCAGTTATAACAACATATGTCAAATACTGTTAAGAGCTTAGTTTTTAATGTGTAATGGATAAATAGTTGAAAAAGAAAATCTATGGGATATAGTCAAAATTCAAATATGCACAATATAATGTTAAATGTTGAAGACAGTGAATATGTTTATATCCTTGATTTGGATATAACTGTTTACATGCTTTAAAAAATACAATACCTCACAAAGATAAACAATTACTATATGTAAATCAGAGATTATAATAAAGTTGTTGATTTTTTTTTTTTTTCCACGCCGCAATCCCTTCTCCTCCAGTCTCCTCTCAGGATCATGGGCATGCACGCACACACGCCTGACGTGAGTTTTAAGCCACCAGGAATGTTTTTCTCCCGAGACCCCTTAAATTTTATTTCATGGGGATAATCATCCCTTGATTCTGAAACTCAAAACATGGCATTCATTTTCTTCTTAGGAATCTCTTCTCAGATCATCCTTTCCCTTTTCACCCTACTGGGGCTTATAAGATACAAATTTTTTTTCTCTTTTTTTTTTTTTAATACTGACTTTGTGGATATAAAGAATGTTTTCACATTCACTCGTATATTAGACATTAGAAACCATTGGCAAAATCAAGACAGAATGCTAATATAACATCCTGCTCTATATGCAGCATTTCATCCAAACCACACAATAACCTTATGAAGTAGGCACTTTATCCAGTAAGCCAATAAAAAAATGAAGGCCTAAGAAGGTTAAATAATGCGTACACTGTCATAAGGTGCTAGAGATGATCAAGACTGGTTCCCCAAATTGTCCTTAATAGGCCATGGTGTAGTTCAGTAATACAGATATTCATGGATATTACAGGTTGTGACATTTTAAACTAAGTATGAAATAGGTAAATGTCTACATTACACTGATAAAAGGTGTGCCCTATATAGTTAAAGTTTCATTTTGAAAAGGTTTGAATTGAGATTAGTTAAAATGTTAGAAAGTAGGACAAACACTTTGATCAGCATATACTAAAGAAATTTGAGAATAAAATGAATTACTCGAAAGAACAGGATTGTCTATATTAGATAATGCGTATGTGATGTCCCTGTGTTCCCTGTTGAAGAGGTATAATATTAACTTCAGAAATGTATACATCTCAAATAATCACCAAAGTCTCCAAAATGTTAAATTCCTAAGGAGGGGAGACAGTTTGCAGCGACAATAAATTCCTCACATCTCATCAGCTTAATCCCACCAAATACCCATAATATTGGTCAAATTTTCTTTCATAATCTGTTACTGTTGTAAACAATTTTGGAATTCAATCCTGTCTAATTCCATGCCCATTGTGACTTATATCACATATTTAATAAGAGTTGGTGTGAAGTGCTTTTCTTAGGGAATGTGAAAATGTGCATAGCCATTTCCATCAAGGGTTACTGGCAAACCAATTAAACTATCTAGTAACCTTCTTATTTAATACCTACATATGTTACTACTTCAAGAGAAAATGTGTGTTCATAAAACGATATTAAGGCACATAAAAAGGCAGTCAACAAAGTCTACTAGTCTACTAGTCATCTGACTTTTAAAAAGCCTGTAAACAATATGGAACTTATAAATGAACAGTAGTCATCCAATGATGAGCTGAAAGAGCCAAACTGATTGCATGTACTCAAACATTTCAAAGACACCTGTTTGAAGTTGGTTTACAGTAGTAATAATGACAGAACAAGGATTCATAATTGTTTCTACATACAGTTTGAGATAGTCTGGGCATATGAGGAAGACATGCATGTTGTGCAGTTTGAGAGAGAAGACTGAGGAAACAAAGTGATTTTTTCTTCTTTTTCAAGTTTTTGTTTTGTTGGTTGGTGTTTTGCTTTTCTGTTTTGTTTTGTTTTGTTTTTGTTATAGTATGCATGTGCTGGCTGGAGAAAGACAGAAGAAAAGTGACAAATCACTTCCCAGAGGTGATGGCCATACCATAATCCCTTCTCTTCAATTCTCCTCCTGAGATTTTGAGCATGAACGCACATGTGCCCAACATGATTTTCAAGCCACCAGGTATGGACTTGAACCAAGGTAGACCATGTTGGAACCCAGTGCCTTGACCACTATGCCATTGGCTGGCCCCTAAGCAAAGTGATTTTTAAATAAAATTTGTATTCCTGAGTATACAATTTAGAGTATCATTTAGCAATTACAAAATAAGCCAAAAACCTGTTAAAATCATCTCCCCAAACACAATTTCATTTAAAAAAAAAATACCCAAGGACTCCAACACTACTGCAAGGATGATGACTGCTACCATTAAATTTAGTTCAAACACGGGGAGGAGAACCATGGTTGCCAAGGGCTGGGAGAACGGGGAATGGAGAGTTAGTGCTCAGTGGGTATAAAATCTGTTATGCAAATGCTTAGTTCTAAAGGGCTGCTGTTCAATATGTGCCTATAGTTAACAATACTGTGTTTTATACTGTATTTTAATATAGCATAAATTTTAAGTGGCTAGATCTCATGTTAAGTGGTCTGGTCACAACACTTTTTGTTTTTAATTAGGACTGCGGCTAGTTTAAATTCAAGTGAACAGCAATAAAATGAGGAGACCCTTCAAAATAGGCAAGCCCTTATTCTAGAAGTATTTTCTAGACTGGTACTAGCTAGTAGAACTTTTTGTGGTGATTACTCTTGAGCACTTGAATTGTGGCTAGTGTGATGGAGAAGCGCATGTTGAATGCTTATTTCATTTAATTAATAATTTAAATAGCTATAATACACATAGTGTATTGTGCAGTATGGATTAAGAAGAAAAAAGAGTCAGACTTTCATGCAATGTTCCAAACCTTTTAGAATATTAACTTCACACACCAAAGTTCTTAAGCACAATATACAGTATTTGTGACATAATGTCTTAACAAATTGTGAGAGAGTAATTTAAAATTTGGCAAATGCTAACTTTGCAACTGGAATAGTACACCACTGAAATCTTCTTTTAAAATGTACATTTATTGGGGCCAGCAGGTGAGTGGTGGTGAAGGCACTGGACAGTGGACTTCCACATGGCCTATCACACTTCACGTCCCAGTTCTGGAGGCTTGGAAATCACATTGGGCATGAGTGCCTGTGCGCTCAAAATTCCAGGAGAAGAACGGAGGAGGAGGGATCTCAGCATGGCACATCCCCTGGGAAGTGAGTTCTCACTTTCTCACTCTCTCTCTGCGCCCCCCACCCCCACCCCAGCACATGTACCCTGTGGCAAAAACCTTTAGAAAAAGTTTTTTAAAAATGTACATTTCACGGACCAGCAGGTGGCATGGAGGTTAAGGTGCTGGATCCCACATAGCCATTTGAGTCCCAGACGTGACGACTTCAAAATTATGCCAGGTTCCTGTGCCTATATACCAAAATGACAGAGAAGAATGGAGAAGGGTTTGTGACATGGCCATTTCCCTCGGGATGAGGAGTGATTTCTCACTTTCTTTCTCTCTGCTTCTCTCTCTCTCCCCCTGGTGAGTGCACATGCCCTTCAGGGAAAAAAAAAAAAAAGAAATTTAAAAGATCTCTCTCTTTATAGGGCACAGTTTAAATTTAGTAGGAAATAAGTTATTTTTCCCAGGCAAATGAATTTACCCAAAAACAACTGCTTAAAAATGTAAGACTACATACTAACTTTCCCAGAATTACAGAAACCAAAATCATTAAGAACTCTTGAGATACCAATTTGGAGTTTGTATTCAAAATCCCACAAATGAAACAAATAGATCAAACTAAAACCTTTCACTGGCTGCAAACTGTCTGTGCATTCCTAGCCTCAGTTCTAACCCCGGCACACACCTGTAGGCTGGTCACGGAGACCTCGCTAACCATGGCTCATCTGCACCCCCAGCACACACGCGTCTCTCATCCTGGAAGACACCCACGTTCAGCCCTGGCACGCCTGAGCCTGGCTCACAAGCACCCCAAAGCCTCGCACTGGTGGCCCTCTGAGCCTGGCAAAGGTCCCAGGCCACGTCTGGCGCCGCCCCCTTACCTTTCTCGCTGACACTCTCGCTCTCCAGCTCCACGTCCTCGCAGCTGGTGTACTCCGGCGTGGACACGCCCTCCTCCTCGGAGCTGCTCACCGACATCTGCCGCCTCTTGCCGCCCCTCTTGGACCGGTGCGGTTTGGGCGGAGACGGCCGCACCGACTCAGACTGATCGGAGCTCAGCGAGTCGTTCCGCAGCATGGTCTCCACCTTCTCGCGCTTGGCCTTTCGGATGAGGACGGCCGAACTGGGGTCCAGGCGGCTCTGCTTCCTGAGCGGCTCCTGTGCTTTGAGCTCCGGGGCTTCCGCGGGGCCCGGCCCATGCCTGGGCGCCGGCGGGCTGTGG